ACTTGTATAGGTTGCAGATCGGATGGTGTACCAGTCGTGGGGACTGATTGTTTCCATTAATTTTGGTTTTCTGCTTTCTTCTTTGCTCTTGATGAGGAGAGACCCATCGTTACATCTAGATGGCAGCTTGCTAGCTTTTAAGATCCCAGTCGCTACTCATGAAAGTAGGAGGTGGAACAGAAATGACATATTCTTGATGATCCACTACCAGCAGCTTTTCTGACCTCTGCCTATCAGATCTATAATTTTCATGTGTTTGAAGCTGGTTTTGCTAGTTTAGGGACACACTTGTGAAATTGCCCACTTTTAATGGGGCTCTCAAAGCAGTGTTCACCCTAAAGGGTGACACTGTAAAGTGACAAAATTTGGGTTAAAATTTAAAATTTAAAAATTTCAATTTAAGAATAACATTAAAATAGAATATATCATGGTACAATAGTTCATAGAAATCTTCTCAAACTTTGGCTAAATTTTTTTCTGGGGAATTAATATTCATACATTAAATCCTAGGGGTAAAATGTACACGTGTATGTCTGTATCAAATGACTTTGGAAAAGCTAGATTTTATACTTAAGAACTTTTTAAATATTTCAGTGCTCTGTTTTGTTCTAAAGACTGTTTTCCCCATATTTATATTGATTAGCTCTTCTTCTCTTATAGTTATGCCCCTTGGTGTCCATCTTGCCAGCAGACTGATTCAGAATGGGAGACATTCGCCAAGAATGGTGAAACACTTCAGATCAGTGTGGGGAAGGTTGATGTCATTCAAGAACCAGGTAGTGTAAAAGTTGAACACCAACTGCCAGTGTTTGTTTCCAATTTATCAGTTTGAAATTTTTCAAGCATACAGAAAAGTTGAAAGACTAAGATACTGATTTACCTTTGAATCAACCACCTTGATTCAACTGATAACATTTTGACATCTCGGGGTATGTCAAGTATATATATATATATATATACATATAGATATAGATATAGATATAGATGTGTGTGTATGTGTGTGTATTTGTATTTGCATTATTTATTTATTTTTCTTTTTGCCGAGCCATTTGAAAGTAGGTTGCAGGCATCATGACACTTTACACTTTAGCACTTTGACCTATTACACATTCCCTATTTATCCATCTCTCTTGGGGGTACAGGGGGTTTGCAGTTGGCTGCTAATCTAAAGGTTGGCAATTTCAGCCCACCCGGCAGTGCCACAGAAGAAAGGCCTGGTGACCTTCATTAAAGATGGCTGTTTCTCTAAAGAATATAGCCAAGAGAACCCTATGGAGCAGTTCTACTCATGGCGTCACTGTGAGCTGGAACCAAGTTGTTGGCAATGGGTTTGGAATTGTTTTTTTGTTAATTATCCCCTGTATGTCCCCTATAAGTTTTTTGAACCACAATCCATTCAAGGGTCACAAATTACATTTGGTTGTTATGTCTTGTTAGTTGATAGTTTCTCAATCTGTAAAAGTCCCCCCATTTTTTTAAAAAATGACATTGACATTATGAAGAGGAAAAAAAAACAAACAAAACCCACTGCCAATGAGTTGATTCTGACTCATAGCGACCCCCATTGGGTTTTTGAGGTGGTAAATCTTTACAGAAGTAGATTGCCCAGTCTTGCTTCCACGGAGTGGCTGGTGGGTTTGAACCACCAACCTCTGGTTAGCAGTCAGGTGCCTCAGGCACAGTGCTATAAGAGCTCCTTGTTTTGAAGAGAACAGGCCAGGATTTGCCCAAGTTGTTTCTTGTGGTGACATTTAACTTACTCTTCTGTTTTCTGTAAACTAGAAATTTGGTCTAGAAGCATAGCTGGATTCAGGTTAGACATTTATGACAAGAATATTTCGTAAGTTTTGCTGTGACTTCATATTGCTTCCTACCAGAAGGCACATATTGTCACCATTAGTGATCTTAAGTTTGAGTACCTTGTTAAGGTGGTGACACCAAATATCTCAATTATAAAGAAACCAACCCAGTTTGTAATAAGCTGGTTATCTGAAGGATGACACATTGGGATTTTAAAATCCATGATGATCTTGCGTGAATGACATGTTTTATTGTGGTTTCTAATAGGGTGAATTTCTAATTTTGTCATTCTGTCTACATTTATTAGCTTTGAGTGCTAAATGTTTAGACAGAGGAAGAGAAAGAAAGGGATATCTTTAACCCCAAACAGTGAAGGAGACAGAAAACTTTTTTACATTCTGAAAAGATAGCACAGTAAATTTGTATTTGTAGTTCAAAACTAAGTTTATATATCATATGTAAATAAAGGAAGAATTAAGCTATTATGATCCAAATCTCCAAAATTGGGCTGTTTTCAAATCTTACGAAGAAATTTTTTTTAATCTGTCATCTCTTCCCATCTACATCAGTTTCTACCTATTGCAGCTCTTTATTAGGAATAAAAGAAGTTAGGTATGGAAGTGTAGCTGTTCACTTTTGTATAATAACTGTTAGTTCAATAAACACAAGGTAGTGAATTACCAATTCCCTGGACAACAAAATGAATGGTATTTGTTAAGATCCATGTGTCTGCAAACCCATGGAGAGAGATTATTAAAATCCATGAGTCCTGAAACCTTTGCCTTTTTAAGCTTTTGAGACAAAGCTGCCTCTGCCCATCTGCTATTTAGACAGACACATTATAGTTATTAGTTCATGGTGTTGTAGCTGTTATAATGAGTTATTCTGTTTGAAGATCAAGTCATTACAGTTAACATTTTTGCTGAAAATTTAATCTTTCAGTAGTTTGAAATCAGGTGTGAGCCTTCTCAATTAGTGAGTACCAGACACATTCCATGGTGGATTTCTTAGAAATTGCATCTGGCCTATTCACATTTCAGTCATTTGAGTTCCTATACCTGCCGTGAATTCACAGCGTGATTTGAATTAAAAGAATTAAACAGTTAGCCTTACAATGGATTTACAAATCTAAAGTCCAATTGCATAATACTCTTCACATTTAAAATATAGATTTATAGCTATTTTTCCATTGTGACTGGATTAAGTGCATTTTTGATAATGAAGTAAGAGAGAATATGATTTTGAAGAAATACGTTAGACACAAATTCAGCACTGATGCATAGTATTTATGTAATGTATGCTGCATATATTTGAAATATACATCAAGAAAGATGGAAAATAAACTCTTCTGTCTCAAATTCTATAAGAATAATAAAGAAACGAAATCCAAAAAAGGAAATATGATTGATTGTTTTATGTATTAGAACAAGTTTTTAACAATTAAGGGCTCCGAAATTCTTTCAATGATAAAAACTTAACAATTGCAACTCATAAATAAAAATTAGGAAACAAAAATTTTACATGTATGATTGTTTGAGGGACCTAGAGAAGATTTCACTTCAGATTATACTATTTTGAGTTACAGCTTTAGTTTAAATTTTAAACCTAATGCTTTAAATTAATCTTTTAATAGGGTTTAGAATTGATGTGTGTTTATTCAACAACTATATGAGTGCCCACCATGCTCCAGGCCCTGTTCTAGATACCAGTAGTAGAGAGGTGAATAAGGAAGACAAAGTCTTGGCCCTTCATTGAGCTTACATTGTAGTGAAGGAGATAAAACAGTTACAAAAGTAACATGTAACATAACAGTCTAGGAGCTATAAAAAAAAATAAAGCAGGGTAAGAATGGTGGGGCTGCTATTTTAAATAGGGTGAGCAGGGAAGGACTGTTGGACCAGAAGTTTTGATACACTGAGAAAGTGAATGTTAACAAGCTCTGGAGGAGGAGTCTGACAGGCAGATTGAGTTCCTTGTGCAAGTGGGAGCATATTTGGCTTATTTTAGGAACAATATGATTGTCACTATGGTATTAGAGATAAATAGGACCAATGAGGTGGCTAGAGATCTGATCATGTAGGAACTTATTAGCTATGGCAAGGAATTTGGATTTTATCTGAAGTATGATAGGAAAACAGCTACTGGAAAGTTTTGAGCTGGGCAGTGACATGATCTGATCTGTTTTGAAAGTATCCCTCTAACTGCTATGTGAAAAATTGACTGTAGGAGGTCAGACGTGGAAGCAGGAAAACAATTGAAAGGTTAATGCAGTAGTCCAAAGTTGGGAAGATGGTGACTTAGACTAGGGTGCTAGCAATAACTGCAGTGCCCAATGGTTGCGTTTGAGATAGTGCATTTGACTGGAATATCCAAAAGAATTTCCTGATGGATTAATTACAGAATGTGTTAGACTAAGTTCTCCGGGGGGGGGGGGGGAAGTAAAGCTTATATAGAGAGAGAGAAAGAAAAATTTATCTTTGGAAAACGGCTCACACACTTATAGGAGCTGGCACATCCAAAGTTCTTGGATCAAGCATCAAGCTGGAGGCTTTTCCTGACTCACGCAGCTGCAGGGGCTGACGAGCTCAAGGTTGGCAGGCAGTATACTGGCTGTTGACTCCAACGAATGACAAATCCAAGACCTCCAGGCCAAATGGTGAATTGTTCTTTCATGGACAGTTGTAGGCAGCACAACAGAATCCTGATCCACAGAAGAGTGTCTCCTTTCCCAGGATGTCTATAAATATACTGGAAGCAGGCCACACCCTTAGGGAAACTCCCTTTCAACGAATTGGCTGCTCAAAACATGTACATTTTATCCCATCATGGGAACAACCCACATCACAGCTGCTTAAAACACACAGAATTGTGGTCCAGCCAAGTTGACACACAGTTTCAATTATCACAGTCTACCCCTTGTCAACTTGGCAGTTGTACACATCTTCTTAACCATATACAATCTCTAAATAAGGACAATTATAAAGTCATATTTCTGCCTGACATGATAGGCTAATATGCATACAACTGAACGCATTAACCTTATTTACATTTCACAGTTCATAACAGAAGGAAACAAAAATATTTAATGCACATATACAATGAAGAAATGTAACAGTCACAGTCCTCATTTTGCAACTGGTCAAGTGGTTGTAGCCAATATTCAGAACTACCTTCTTCCACCACCCATTCTGTATTTCCCTTGCCCTCAGCAAACACCTCAGCTGGTTGTGGTTCTTTCCTGGTGGGGTAACCCAAACCTTCATTCCTGAAGGGTCTGGGCCATTAGCAGTCATATTAGAAATGGGTTGCTGTAATTTTCCATTGACTTTAATCACAGGGCATGGTAGTACTAAGAGACATCCTAAAGAATCTCCTGTATTCCAGACATACTCTTCTTTACCTCCATGATGTAATGTCCATCCAGTTTCCCCTTGGTAATCAGGATCTATTACAGCAGATAGTACAGTAATGCCCTTCTTTGTCTGTTGATCCAGAGACATGAGGAAGCCAAAATGGCTGGATGGCATTCTTAATTTCCAGTTCAATGCAATCAGTATTGTGTCTCCAGGCGGGAGTGTTCCTCCCTTTGGGACTAAGATCTCCAGACCCATAGAGCATAGGGTAGCAGGGACAGGAAGCAAAAATTTTTTGAGTGGGTCACTAGGGGTAATAGTGAGTGGTACCACTCCCATTTCCACCCCTTGGTTCCTGGACCTGTGAATCCTGGGTATTGGAGAAACAGAACTGTGGGATCTACCACAAGCAGCCTTTGGGATGTGGTCTGCTTCCTGTATATAAGGAGAAGCCTTGGGAATGGTCTCTAGCCTATGGCACGCTTGGATCCTGCATGTAGCTGTGTCATTGCTCAGCAGCCTGCTATGCTCTGCTGACCTTGGGACTGTGCCCTTCTTACTTGTCAACCTTGCTTCTCAGCCTCAGTAGCCAGCACTGTCTGAGTGAAGAAACACCTCTAGCT